ATTTCAGAAATCTTCCGCAAGATTTCTCACAGCTATTTAAAAAGCAAATTCAGATTGAAGAGAATGTTGTCTCATGACTGGGTAGTGTTTCTTTCTTCAGGGGCAATCTGTGACCACCAGCATGAGAGTCACCATGAGCATTTAAAAATGCTTCTTGGGATTGGGTGCAGTGGCTCACACCTATAATCCCAGCACTTTGGGAGGCTGAGGCGGGTGGATTGATTGAGGTCAGGAGTTCAAGACCAGCCTGGCCAACATGGCGAAACCCCATTTCTACTAAAAATACAAAAATTAGCTGGGCATGGTGGCGTGCACCTGTAGTTGTAGCTACTCCAGAGACTGAGGCAGGAGAATTGCTTAAACCTGGGAGGTGGAGGTTGCAGAAAGCTGAGATCACTCCACTGCATTCCAGCCTGGGCTACAGAGTAAGATTCTGTCTCAAAAAAAAAAAAATTCTTGGCTCCATCTCTTTACCTACTGAGTGAAAACACCAGGTTGGCTGTCATACATACTTATGGAAAGACACACTCATCTGTCTACTAGACAACCCAGGTACTCCGGCTCTCATCGGGCAGCTAAGCAACAAGCTGGCTCAGCCTAAGGCAGAAAGCAGGATTGATATGGAAAACTCCCCAGGTGATGGGTGTCTAAAAGTTTGTTATATAGACCAACACTCACATTTTCCAAATTGGCTGAGTGATCCCTGCTCCCTCCAAACTCTTTCATGGATAAATGAGGTGGCAGTGAGTCTGATCTCTCTTCTGAAACACTTTCAAAGGTGTGTCCAGTCATATCAGCAGCAAACACCGCTTTCTATGGGTTGGTGAGAGACTAGAGGATCCCATGCATTTGTTTAGCCCTGAGTTTGCAAGTTTGCAAGTTTTTGTTTTGGGCCTACACTGGGTATTGTTGTACTGTTTATTCAAGCCGTGTATTGCTTGATAACATGGAAGTTTGAAAACCACCAGGCATGTATTATTTAATACATTTACCAATGATTTGGAAGAAGCACTCCATAAAAACATTACACTTCTAGTCCCATAGATGACCTTGTATTACTTGTTAGTTAGGAGTCACATAAATGAGAATAAATTGCAGAAATTTTTTTAGAATTTTTTTCTCTTTTTAAAGACAAGGTCTTGCTGTGTTGCCCAGGCTAGAGTGCAGTGAAGCAATCATGGTTCTCTGCGGCCTCAACCTCTTAGGCTCAAGCAGTCCTCCCACCCCAGCCTCTCATATAGCTGGGACTACGGGCACGAGCCACTCCATAGAAATTATTATTATTATTATTATTATTATTATCATTGAGACAGGGTCTCACTATGTTGCCCAGGTTGGTCTCAAACTCCTGGCTTCAAGATATTATACTGATTTGGCTTCTCAAAGTGCTGGGATTACAGGTGTAAACCACTGGGCCCAGCCATATTTTTTTTTTTTTTTAGAATTTTTACTTAAAGAAGTATCTTCTTTAAGTTATGTGCTTCCTTTAAAATATTACTACAGCTAAAATTTAATAGCTATTTTTTGTAAATATATAGAAAATACTTAAGTATGTGTGTTGATGTTATGATCTCAACTCAATACATTTATAGCTCAACAGTTCCTATGGTTGTTGAATGGGATTCTCATTTTGCCAGTTAATGTTAATATGACAAAATTGCAGAGACAATTCATAAGAAGTTTATTTTTATTTTTATTTCAATAGTTTTTGGGGTACAGATGGTTTTCAGTTACCTGGATAAGTTCTTTAGCGGTGATTTCTGAGATTCTGGTGCACCCATCACCTGAGCAGTGTAAGCCGTGCCCAAAAGACTACTATATGTAGCCTTTTCTCCCTCACCTCCCTCTCCCTTCTCCTCCCAAGTTCCCAGAGTCTGTTATATCATTCTTATGCCTTTACATCCTCATAGTTTAGCTCCCACTTATAAGTGAGAACATATGATATTTGGTTTTTCATTTCTGAGTTACTTAGAATAATGGCCTCCAGCTCCAACCAAGTTGCTGCAAAAGACATTATTTCATTCCTTTTTATGACTGAGTTCATAAAAAGATAAGGTAAGACTGGCCGGGCACAGTGGCTCATGCCTGTAATCCTAGCACTTTGGGAAGTCGAGGCAGGCTGATTGCTTGAGGTCAGGAGTTTGAGACCAGCCTTGTCAACATGGTGAAAACCCATCTCTACTAAAAATACAAAAAAGTAGCCGGGCGTGGTGGCACACGCCTGTAGTCCTAGCTACTCAGGAGGCTGAGGCAGGAGAATCGCTTGAACCTGGGAGGCAAAGATTGCAGTAAGCCTAGATGGCACCACTTCACTCTAGCCTGGGTGACAGAGCAAGACTCCGTCTCAACAACAACAACAGAAAAAAAAGAAGATAAAGTAAGTCTTTGCTGATCTCCATCAGTACGTAAAAATTTTGTGTGATAGGCTTAAACACTGAAAAGTTTCCCTTGTTGGGATAAAACCCTGTGCATCTCCATTTCTAATACTGTATTCCAAGTATCACAACTGTAAGAAAGAGCTAATAAAAGCAGGGAAGGTTCAGAAGAAGACAAAGTAATCAGTGGAATGGGGAACCCCTCAATAACCTACTAACCAGATTAAAACTCTAATTAGCTTAAATGAAACAAACAAGGGCAGAGAGAAGACCTAACTGTAAAATCAAGAAGGGATTAAAAAGTAAACAGAGTTGTTCATTAACTCATGAAATCATAGAATGAGAGGGCATCTCTTACCTTATTGAGGTAAGTTCAGTCCAATTAGAGAGAAGTATAACTTCATATTAGAAAATAAAACTCAGGCCAGGCGCGGTAGCACATGCCTTTAATCCCAGCACTTTGGGAGGCTGAGGTGGGTGGATTACCTGAGGTCAGGAGTTAGAGACCAGCCTGGCCAACACCTCTCTACTAAAAATACAAAAATTAGCCAGGCATGATGGCGTGAGTCTGTAATCCCAGCTACTTAGGAGGCTGAGACAGGAGAATTGCTTGAGTCCAGGAGGCGGAGGTTGCAGTGAGCTGAGATTGCGCCACTGCACTCCAACCTAGGCAAAGAGAGACTCCGTCTCAAAAAAAAGAAAAAAAGAAAAAAATTACTTATGAGTGTATTATCTTTAGCTATTCATATGCATCATCAAATCTCTGGGTCTTTAAATTCTAGCAAATGTTCCTCTTTTTTTTTTTTTTTTGAGACGGAGTCTCGCTCTGTCGCCCAGGCTGGAGTGCAGTGGCGCGATCTTAGCTCACTGCAAGCTCTGCCTCCCAGGTTCATCCCATTCTCCTGCCTCAGCCTCCCAAGTACCTGGGACTACAGGCGCCCGCCACCACGCCCGGCTAATTTTTTGTATTTTTTTTATTAGAGACGGGGTTTCACGGTGTTAGCTAGGATGGTCTTGATCTCCTGACCTCGTCATCTGCCCATCTCGGCCTCCCAAATTGCTGGGATTACAGGCGTGAGCCACTGTGCCTGGCATGTTCCTCTTTTTCATGATGCTAATATCTTATATGTCTGTGAACTAGAGTTTTCTTTTTTTTTTAGATTGTTGGACAATCACGAGGGAGGAACTTTTTCTCCCACTTTTGATGTTTCTTCCTTGTGGAGGGAATGTAATTAGTGTAGCTCCTGACCTTCCTGCACCTCTTTATTAGCTCTTCCCCAGGGAAGTCATTTATTTGATGGGTAAATTGGAGATGTAAATACTTGAGTATGTATGCTCTGCTTAGCTTCTCTTCGTTCTCTGAGAAACTGATTAAATTTAAACACACACACCCCAAGCCACGCTTCAGTCAATCATAGAGCGAACTACCAGCCAATGACAGCCAGCCAGCTGTTTGTCATATAACTAGGGACTTTCCACTGGATCATGCCCAAGCAAGGCAAATGCCTAGCTGTAGCCAATGAAGTTACTTCTTTACTTTTGCCTCCATGTTCGGCCTATAAGCATGCTGCTGCTCATGCTGTTAAAGTGGAGCTCTCTGAAGTTATTCTTTTTTTTCTATTTTTTTTTTTAAGACAAAGTCTTGTGCTGTCACCCAGGCTGGAGGGCAGTGACACGATCACACCTCACTGCAGCCTTGACCCAGGTCCAAGCAAGCCTCCCACCTCAGCCTCCCAAGCAGCTGGGACTACAGGCATGCACCACCATGCTGGGCTTTTTTTTTTTTTTTTTTAACTTTTTGGTAGAGACAAGGTCTCACCATGTTGCCTAGGCTCGTTTTGAATTCCTGGGCTCAAGCGATCCTCCCACCTCAGTTTCCTAAAGTATTAGAATTACAGGCATGAGCCACTGCACTCAGCCTTGAACTTATTCCAATTTTGAGTGCTGCCTCATTCATGAATCCTTTATTGCTCAAATAAACTGTTAAATTTATTTTATGTGAAGCCTTTACCAGTGGTAATCATTGTCTTTAGGCAATAAAAAACAGATGGATAGAAAAGAATAAATGCTCAGTAAATAAACCACAGGATACTTATGCTTTGGCTAAAAAAAAAAAAATTGCAATGAAAATTTTTATACAATGTTGCTAATTGTATCATATGAATAAAAGCTACATTTTTAAAATAAATTATTAACATTATTCACTTCTTGCATTATTCTGGATAAACATATTTTAGTGACCTACAAAGTCCTATGTAATCTGTGCTCCATTCCCTTCCCACCCCTCTGAGATCATCTCTTATCATGATCCCACTCACTCACTCTATGCCAGCCATATGGCCTCCTTGCTGTTCCTCCAGCACACCCACCTTTTCCTGCCTCACTGCCTTCACCTGTGCCGCTCCCACTGCCTGGCTGCTCTTCTCCCACATGTATCCATGGCTTATTCCCTCTGTTCACCAAAGGCTCTATGGAAATGTCACTTTCACAGGGAGTCCTTCCCTGACTATCCATTACAAATACCACTGTTGCCCTGCCCAGTGCTGCCGGCCCTGTGCCTGTCCCCAGTTTGAGGCTTGGTTCTGTTTGCCCATGTCCATCATTCTGTGCAGAAGCACCACCAGTATGTCTCATTAACTACCCTACGAAGTTGCTGACACTGGTTTGGCTGCCTGGGGGTGGAAGGCCCTGGACACTGAGGAGAATGAGAAGCCAGGCCTGATGCACATGCAGGAGCTGTACTGAGCCTCCAAGCCACTGAAGGGTGTCTGCATCACCGGCTGCCTGCACGTGACCGTGGAGACAGTTGTCCTCACTGAGACCATCCTTGTCCTGGGTGCTGAAGTGCAGTGGTCCAGCTGCAACATCTTCTCCATCCAGGACCATCAGCAGCTGCCACTGCCAAGGCTGGGAGTCCAGTGAATGCCTGGAAGGGTGAAATGGAGGAGAAGTACCTGTGGTGCATCAAGCAGACACTGTACTTCAAGGACAAGCTCCTCAACATGATTCTGGACGTCAGTGGGGACCTTACCAACCTCACCCACACTAAGTACCCACAGCTCTTGTTGGGCATCAGAGACATCTCTGAGGAGACCACGACTGAGGTCCACAACCTATACAAGATGATGGACAGTGGGATCCTGAAGGTGTCCACCATCAACGTTAATGACTCTGTCACCAAGAGCAAGTTTGACAACCTCTATGGCTGCCACCAGTCCCTCATAGATGGCATCAAGTAGGCCATAGGTGTGATGATTGCCAGCAAGGTAGCTGTGGTAGCTGACTATGGTGATGTGGGCAAGGGCTATGCCCAGGCCCTGCAGGGTTTCGGGGCTCGCTCACATCATTATCACCGAGATCGACCCCATCAATGCACTATAGGCTGCCATGAAGGGCTATGAGGGGACCACCATGGACGAGGCCTGTCAGGAGGGCAACATCTTTGTCACCACCACAGGCTAGGTTGACATCATGCTTGGCTAGCTGCCCAACAGGCACTTTGAACAGACGAAGGATGATGCCATCGTGTGTAACACCGGACACTCTGATGTGGAAATCGATGTCAGGTGGCTCAACAAGAATGCTATGAAGAAGATGAACATCAAGCCCCAGATGGACCAGTACTGGCTAAAGAACGGGCGTGGCACCATCCTGCTGGCTGAGTGTCAGCTGGTCTACCTGGGTTGTGCTATGGACCAACCCAGCTTTAGGATGAGTAACTCCTTCACCAACCATGTGATGGTGCAGATTGAGCTGTGAACCCACTCAAACAAGTACCCCACTGAGGTTCACTTCCTGTCCAAGAAGCTGGATGAGGCAGTGGCTGAAGCCCATCTGGGCAAGGTGAACATGAAACTGACCAAGCAGACTGAGAAGCAGGCCCAATATCTGGGCATGTCCCGTGATAATCCCTTCAAGCTGGATCACTACCACTACTGAGAGCCAGGCCTGTCCTTCACCTTCCAGTGGTCCTCTTTGCCCAGGCCCCGCCTCTCCTCCCTAAGGGCAAATGGCATCAACTTTGTGATTGGTCCAGCTGTTGTCCTTGCCCAGGCCCCGCCTCTCCTCCCTAAGGGCAAATGGCATCAACTTTGTGATTGGCTTGCCAGTGTTCCCCATCAACTCCCTGGGGTTGGTCACTCAGTTTTCAGCCTGTGCTGCATCCCTCATGCTTTTCCAAGCGTGGCAAAGGGAATTGAGAGGACCCTCCTCAAGCCCTGATCATGATGGAGGTACAAGGGAGGCAGCCACAGGGAACCATGAACTCAGTGGTCTTGGAACTGCTCACTAAGTCTGCCCTTCCTTAGCCTGGAAGTTGGTGGTGGAGTGACAAAACCCAAGTATTAATACGTTACCATCTAGGCCTTTATCTGGTCTGTGGACTTATACCCGTGTGCTTGGTTTATAGGCTCAGTGGTTCCTCAGCCCGTGACAGATGAGAAGGAGCTATATTGAAGGGCAAGGAGGAACTGTTTGAATTTTCCTGAGAGCCTGGCTTAGTGCTGGGCCTTCTCTTAAACTCATAACAATGAGGTTGGTACTTTTAGTCCTTGTTTTACAGGGGTTAGAATAGACTGTTAAGGGACAACTGAGAAAAGATAGAGAAGTAACAGCCAGAGGTTGAGAGGGGCCATTAAAATGTAAAAGCAGGCATAGATCTGCCACCACTTTGTAAC